TATTTCTGTAGTTGCTCACTTTCAGATAGAGATGTAGTGCCATGGATGCCTCCAGTAGGAATCTTTTATAAGCTCTTAGGGTTTGTTTTTTAAACAATATATTCAGTATATTTCAATAAATTGCAATGCTCTATTGTCCCATCTTTCACCAGTAAGAGCCCTATCATATTGGTTCCTATGTCATTTTTTTCCTTTATAAATAAAACCAAACATTTATTTATANGAGAGAGAGAAACATCAATCAGCTGCCTCCTGCACCCTCCCTACTGTGGATCAAGCCCTCTACCCAGGCATGTACCCTGACCAGGAATCGCACTGGCAACCTTTTGGTGCACAGATGACATTCAACCAACTGAGCCACCCTTGCCAGATAGTTTTTAAACTATCTGAAAATGAAACACACATCACAAAAACACGGAGTTAAACTTGTCTTGACTTTGGTGGTCTTTGACTCTCTTCAGGCATCTCCAGAAGTCATCCTTGTTTTTTGATTACTTCCTTTGCCCACACCATGTGGTTTATCAAGCAAAACTAACAAACAAACAAAAATCATGTGATTGGATAACAGAAGCCTGTGAGGGAGTGTGTGTGTGTGAGTGTGTGAAAGCCTGTGGCTTCATTTCCTAGTCTCCACGACCATCCAGTCTAACCATACTATTAAGGTGGAGGGGAGCTGCAATACTACAGACAGACAAGCCCTTGCAGAAGATTCCCTCACCTCCACCAGCTCTGCCTCTGTAGTTCCAATTTTGGAGTCATAGTGCCAGCTCTTGCTCCTAGGAGCATATACATTCCTGGTAATTTTCCAGTGCTACACGTTGACGCCATAACAGCACTGCTTTTACCAGAATCTCAGCCAAGAATCGTGGGACTTTCCCAAGGCTGGAGGTTGTTCCCTGGGAGCTACCTGGTGCACAGATTAACAGGCAACCTATACAGTGTTGCGGTTCACATTAAAATCCAGTTTTTAAACACATTTTCTCATGGGAACCCTCCAACCCCACCTCTTTCTCTTCTTTCTGTCACCTATCATACTCACAGTTTTTTTGTGTTTTTGTTTGTATGTGTGTGTGTGAGAGAGATATAAGGGAAGGAAGAAGCAGATCTGCAACAACATAAAATGTTCAGAGTAATATTATTACCCCTATTTCTCTTCATAATGGACACTGGGAGGTGTAGATAAGAGACTTCTACAGATGAACTAATTCTACTGATGAGCTAATTTAATTCTTTCCCATCTCCTCCTCAGTCATTCATCCAAGCCAACAAGTGAAAGAATGAAGCACATTAAGTTCAGCATTTTTTCNAAAGAATTCCAACACTGGATCTTTCACATATGAAGGACAAAGTATTATATCTATACACACAGCAAGGGGTGGCAGGGCTATAACAAGAGAGTTTATAGCTTTCCCACAATTACAGGTCTACCGTTTCAGTTTCACTGGAGACAGTGTTCTGCTCCTATTCTCAGATACGTTTACAAGACCGAGGGGCAAGTCTTCTCACTGGATGGCATGTGAGGAAAGGGGAAGGTAGGAGGAAAAGAAGGTAGAAAGCTTAACATGAAAACAGTGTGGCCACATCTCCCATTAGCTCTAAAGGTGTTGTTAGCATAAAACCTATATAGATGCTTTTCTTTTGTTAAAAGCAATTAAGTTATACCCAATAATTAAATGAATTCAAAATGACCAAGTCAAAGAAAATTGAAAAAGATTTTGCCTTTCCCCTCTTACCAGCTGTAGAGCATATTGGGAGATGAAAGTTGAGAGGACCGAGGTAAAGAGCCTGGGAGGGAAGGCTATTAAAGTTTTAAACTAAAGTGAAACTAAACTTATAAGTGAGTTGAATTTAGGGTTAGGTCAATACAACATAATTCATCCCTGTGTCATTTTGATACAACCCCATAGCTTCTGATAGTTTCCTTGCTTTTTGGCACAGCTGTCTTAAGTTCATCCTGTACCTTCCTGCCCCAGTCCTGCAATCAGCCTCTTCTTTCAGTGAGAAATAGTATTTAGAGAGAGCTAGAAAATATAGGGTGTCCCCCCAAAATGTATACATCCATTTTGAATAATGATAAAGGCAGTGTTTATTAAAATACATTTTCAAAATTGAGCTATCAGCTGTTAAAGTGTGTATACATTTTTTGGGAGAACACCCTGTATGTGTATTTTTAAAAAGAAAATAAATTATCAGTGCATATAATATTGTTTCAAAATAATAATAGTAATATAAAAACAAGACTACTGAATGAGATTTTATGTTTCTTTGCAGTTCTCTTTGTCCTTAAAATATGTTCTTCAAAGGATGCACAAAGTGCTGTGTTTTGAAGTCACTTGAAATAATTCTGTTAATTATGTGGTTATATCACCAATTTGATAATTATGCTCATTCATTTTTATGTTGTCAACTTGGGTAGGGGGAATTCTATTAACTTTATAAATATTTTTAATGTGCAAAAGAATTGCAAGATTCCAAAATGGAAACTATGTAACAAAAGAGAAGTCTCTCCCATTTTTGTCCCTTCTCCATAGGCAGCCATTTTTCTTAGATCTTGATTTATCCTTCCAGGACTTNTAACATTCTGTTCATGTTGGAAATATCTTCCAGATGTCATATGTGTAGTGAAATGTCTTTCCACCGAGTAGTCTCCTAGATCTCTTCCTATTCAAGGAAGAGTGCTGAAAAAGCTATTAAGATTACCTTGATTTTCATATTTCCTCATACCATACTTAATGCCAGTCACTCTGGCTTTGAGGTTGTACTATAATTTTATTTCAGCCCTCTTCCAGATAGTTTTTGTTGGGTTTGTATTTTTTTTTTAGAAAATTTTATTATTTACCTGCAATTGTAAAGACTGCTGGGTATTGGATTAAATCTGTTTTTTCATCTTTGTTCTTATAATTAATCAAGATAAATTTAAAGTGATCTTATTTCACATAAGCCTTTTTTTGAAATATGTTTTTATTGATTTCAGAGAGAGGAAGAGAGAGGGAGAGATAGAAACATCAGTGATGAGAGAGAATCATCGATTGGCTGCCTCCTGCGCTCCCTCTACTGGGGATCAAGCCTGCAGCCTGGGCATGTGCCCTGACCGGGAATCGAACCCTGATCGCCTGGATCCTAGGTCGATGCTCAACCGCTGAGCCATGCCCGGCCGGGCTCTTTTCTAAATATGAGCATGCACATACTTATATTTCTCCCTGTTTTACACAAAGGTAGTAAAGCATATAAACTCTTACATACCTTGTTTTTTCCCCACACTTAATACTATATCCTGAAAGTTATTCTATGTCAGTTTGCTTATGGTATGGAGGTCTTTTTTCCCCTCCCTCTGCATAGTATTCTATTGCATGTATGTGTCATAGTTAATACAATAAGTCCCCCTTTGATGGATTTTTTGGGTGGTTTTCATACTTTAGCTGTAATACAGAATGAATAGCCTCAGTCATGTATCGTTTTGCATTTTTGCCAGTGTATTTCTGGGACAGATCTCTAAAGGTAAGATTATTGCTGGGCATTGTCAACCAGGGAATCTTACTAGATACTTAGCATCTTGGATTTTTACTGGAGGCTGGTCATGTGGGCAGCCTCTGCATGGCATGTACCAAACTTTCAGACTCCCAGAAGGAAAGCCGGTGTTCGTCATAAACCATATTGTTTGTGCAGTTAAGGCATAGTGAGCCACTCTTTTCTGTTAATGACGGAAACCCTACTGAAATCCAAGTTCCCAGATGCCATGTCAACCTTTTAGGCAGCCTTTCAAAGGACAGTAGTCAGGCCTGCTAGGTTAATGCTTTTTTGCGTAGCACTGTTTTCATTTCTTACGCTATTCATTCATATATTTTGCCTATTTTTCTGTTAGGCTTATGGCTTTTTTCTTGATTGCTCTTTTTATATATTAGGGATTTGAGCCTTTTGTGACTTAAGTTGCAAATATATTTTTTTCCAGTTGGTCTTTTGGCTTTGCTTATGGTACTTGTTTGCTGTTTGTGTTTTTGAATAGTAATAGCTTTTTTCCACTAAAGTTTTAAAGGAAGTCTTCCATCTAGAACTTATACTTTTAATTTTTACATTTAGATCTCTAATTCATTTGGAATTTGTCCTGGTATATAATGTGAAATACAATCCTATTTAATTTTTCCAAATGACTATCCAGTTTGTGTCAGTATCTTATTTTTGAATCTATCTTTTCCTTATTATTTGAAGAGCCACCTTTATTAGACATATAGCAAATTTCTATATGCTTTTGGATCTCTTTATAGACTTTCTGTTCTGTTCCAGTGGTCCATTTGTCCATTTATGCACCAGTGCCACACTTTTAATTAAAGAGACTTTATGATAAGTTTTAATATCTGATAGGGCTAGCATTCCCCATCACATGCCACATTACTATTATTTTCAGAATATACCTGGCTTTTCTTATTTATTTTTCTATATAAACTTTTATTCTCACCGAGGAGTGAAGCTATTTTTTCTATTGATTTTTTAGAGGGAGTGGAAAGAGGGAAGGGGGGAGAGAGAGAGAGGAGAGAAAGAAACATCGATTTGACAGAGACACATCGATTGGTGGCCTCCCACACATGCCCCAACCAGAGGCTGAGATTGGACCTGCAACCCAGGTATGTGCCCTTGATCGGGAATCAAACTGGTGACCCTCTGGTGTGCGGGCTGATGATCTAACCAGTGAGCAACCCTGTCCAGTGCTCTGTATAGACTTTAGAATTAACGTATCTAACTCTAGGGAAAAAATTGATATTTTTATAGGGATTATATTAAATTTATAAATTCATTTTGTGAGAATTGACATCTTTATCAGGTTGAGTCTTACTGTCCAATGATACTGTGTCGTCCTTTTCATTTTGTTATGTCCACTTTTGTATCTTTTCAGCATTATGTCCAAGTTGAACTCATGGAATTTGTACATTTTTTTTCTTACATTTATTATTTTTGTAAATCCCTCCGCTCAATTTTGAGAAAAATCCTTAATGATTACATGATAGATTTGATGTTGAAACCCGGCATGTGTTTATCGGTGACCATTCAGGCCAAGTAACCATCCTCAAACTGGAGCAAGAAAACTGCACCCTGGTCACAACATTCAGAGGACATACAGGTGGGACTGAAAGCAAAATCCATGTGCTACTTGCTCTCTCAGTGAGCTAGCACCTGCTGCATGTTCTGGTGTTCAGATAACAAGTTGTGAAAGTGACAGAGTACACTCTGGGCTTGTGCAAAGATACACATGATACATTTAACTGATTTCATAATGGTTCAGTAAGATATAATGTCAAAAATTTTCTACGTCAATCCAAACAAAAGAGTCCTTAATCTATTTTGAAAATGTTTGATTCTTGTCGTGTTGCCCTGGAGAAAGCCAGTGTTGGCACATGTTAATGAGACATTATTTAAGACTATGTGTAACTGCACAGACCCCCAAAAGCCAAAAGGACACCTGCCTTGGTCTGTCCTTGCCATCCTTGGATTGAGGAGATTGTGGTCAAGACAGACTCCCACTTCTAAGACAAATTAAATGAAAAATATGTTCATCATGGGTAACCAGGTTGCATAAAAAAGTTAAAAGTTCTTTAACTTCCTTTCCTTTTGGGCTCTTTCCAGTTTAAAACCCAAGGCCCCCTTTATGTTACTGGCCTGCTCAGAGTCATTTAAACAAAGTAATATAAAATATCCATGCTTAGCCTTTGAAAGTCTTGAATAGGTAATGATGATTTATTTTTTACTGGTATTTTTAATGTGTGATGTTAAAATAAGCCACTGCCTGTACCATTGGTTTTAAATGGGGTTTTGTATTTTCTACACATTACACTCATAGTTGAGAACAGAACAAAGTTAATAATGAATTTAGGCATCATATAAGAACAAAAGTAGGTGAATGAGGATGTAAAATGGGAGAGTACCTAGGTCATCAGGGATTTCCTGAAGGGAAAAAAGGAATCCAGGGAAACAGATTCTTAAAAGATCATCAGAATTGTCTCTTCTTTGGGAGGAATTTACAGAAACATCCCCTGTGGCTAGGACCCAGTTCTTTCTGATTGGGTTTCTCTTTTTAGCCACTTAGACCCTGGCCAACCCTGGCCTGATAGGGATCCAGAACTCTCCCACCTCAGGAATCTTAAACTTATGTGTTTCACTATTAACTTCAGTCTCCTGATCTTTTACTTCCCTAAACCCTTTTTCCAACTCCACTTGCTCTTGCCCTTGTTGAGAAGTCCAGTCCTTGATCCCTCATTCCATGTCTCCACACCATATTTTCTTCCTTCCCAGGTGTGCGTCCCTTCAGCCACATGCTCCCCAACCTACTCAGCTCAGGGCCCCTTTATTCTTCCTCGGTAAGTTTTGTCCATGATACACTCACTGTCCACGATCACTCCTTGTGCTGTCAGCCACTGGGTCAGGACCCAGCTGCAAGTTACACTATGAGTCTTAGCTCTTCATTACCAGTGCATATTCATCATTCCAATCCAGAATCAGGAACTGCCTCATAGTCCCTCCACATAATTACTTACAGACCTTGAGTACACTCCTCCCAGTCCCCTTAACAGCTTTTTCAAACCTGCACCACTTTCCCTGAGCCCCTACTCCCTCCCATTCCAGCATCCTCTTTCAAAGAAAAAATATATATTATCAAATAGAAGCTCTTCAAAACATATTTTTCTTGGCCACCCATATTCTCTTTCCAGCAAACTTCCCCTCTGCCCCATCCTTATCTCTTGCCATTCTGCTTCTAACAATAGCCTGCTCTCCTCTGGCCCCAGGTTCAGTCTCAGTCTCTTCACCAAAAGTCATTCCCTTTTCTCCCTTTTCTACCTTTTGACTAACCCACTCTTCTCAATTTATTAACATGCTAAAGTTTATTGCTTATTTCAAACAAACAAGCAGAAACCCTCTCAATCCATGTCCTGTTGTAGCAATTTGCGTAATAGCAATATTTTTTCTCTTTTTTAAAAAATTATAAGCTATACATAATCCTTTTAAAAATCTTTATTGTTGAAAGTATAACATTTGTTCCCCTTTTCCCCCTCATTGACCCCTTTCTCCCCGCTCCTGCCCCCTCCCCAGGCCTTCCCCACAATGTTGTCTGTCCATGGGCTATGCATATATGCATAGAAGTTCCTTGGTTAATCTATTCCCGCTCCCCCTTTGCCTCTTAAATATGTCAGTCTGTTCCATGCTTCAATGTCGCTGAATCTGTGTTGTTCATCAGTTTATTCTGTTCATTATATTCCATATATAAGTGAGGTTATATGATATTTATATTTCTCTGACTGACTTATTTCTCTTAGCATGATCCTCTCCAGGTCTCTCCATGCTGTGTCAAAGGGTAAGAGATCCCTCTTTTTTACAGCTGCATGGTATTACATAATGTACTGCAGCTTTTTTATCCACTCATCTACTGATGGGCACTTGGGCTATTTCCAGATCTTAGCTCTTATAAATAGTGCTGCTATGAACATAGGGGTGTATATCTTTTTTCTGATTGGTGTTTCAGGCTTCTTAGGATATATTCCCAGAAGTGGGAACACTGGGTCAAATGGCAGTTCCATTTTTAATTTTTTGAAGAAAATCCACAGTTTTCCATAGTGGCTGCACCAGTCTGCATTCCCACCAGCAGTGTACTAGGGTTCCCCTTCTCTACATCCTCACCAGCACTTGTTTGTTAATTTAGTAATGGTAGGAATTCTGGCAGGTGTGAGGTGGTACCTCATTGTGGTTTTAATTTGCATCTCTCTGATAATTAGTGATGTTGAGCATTGTTTCATATGTCTCTTGGCCATTTGTATGTCCTCTTTGGAGAATTGTCTATTCAGGCCCTCTGCCCATTTTTTAATTGGGTTGTTTGTCTTCCTTGTGTTGAGTTGTATGAGTACTTTATAGATTTTGGAAATTAACCCCTTATTAGCTGTATCATTGACAAATATGTTCTCCCATACAGTGGGTTCTCTTTTCATTTTGATGAGGATTACTTTTGCTGTGCAGAAGCTTTTTATTTTGGCGTAGTCTCATTTTCATTTTTTCCTTTGTTACTTTTGCCCTAGGCGTTGTGTCAGTGAAAATTCTGCTATGTGAGATGTCTCCTATTTTGCTGCCCATGTTTTCTTCTAGGATTATTATGGTTTTATGACTTATATTTAAGTCTCTTATCCATTTTGAGTTTATTCTTGTGTATGGTGTAAAGTGGTGGTCTAGTTTCATTTTTTGCATGTACCTGTCCAATTTCCCTAACACCATTTATTGAAGAGACTGTCTTTACTTCATTGTATGCTCTTGTCTCCACTGTCAAATATTAATTGAGCATAATGGTTTGGATCAATTTCTGGGTTCTGGGTTCTATTCCATTGATATATATGCCTATTCCTTTGCCAGTACCAGGCTGTTTTGACTATAGTCACTTTGCAGTATAGCTTCATATGCCATACTGTGATCCCTCCAACTTTGTTGTTCTTAAGATTGCTGCAGCTATTTAGGGTCTTTTTTGGTTCCATATGAATTTTTGGAGTATTCATCCTAGATCTGTGATATAGATCTGGTATTTTAGAAGGGATTGCATTGAATCTATCGATTGCTTTGGGTAGTATGGACATTTTACTGATGTTAATTCTACCAATCCATGAACATTGTATATTGTTTCACTTGTTTAACTCTTCTCTCTCTTTTTTAAACATTCTGTAGTTTTCCAAGTACCTGCCTTTTACCTCCTTGGTTAAGCTTATTCCTAGGTATCTTAATTTTTTTTGTTGCAATGGTGAATGGAATTTTTTTTTAGTTTCTCTTTCTGAGAATTCATTATTGGTATATAAAAGTGCCATTGATTTCTTGGTGTTAATTTAGTATCCTGCTACCTTGCTGAATTAATTTATTAAATCTAGTAGTTTTTTGGTGTAGTTTTTAGGATGACACTATCAAGTCATCTTGGAATAATGACAGTTTTATGTCCTCCTTTCCAATTTGGATGCCTTTTCTTTTTTCTTTAGTTTTTGCCCATTGAGTATGATGTTTGCTGTAGGTTTGTCATATATGGCCTTTATTATGTTGCTGTACGATCCCTCTATTCCCATTTTCCCGAGTTTTTATCAAAAATGGGTATTGGATTTTGTGAGTGCTTTTTCTGAATCCATTGATATGATCATGTTATTTTTGTCTTTTATGCATCACATTTATTGATTTGTGAATATTGTACCTACCTTGCATCCCTGGAATAAATCCCACTTGGTCATGGTGTGTGATCTTTTTAATATATTGCTGGATCCGATTTGCTAATATTTTGTTGAGGATTTTAGCATCTATGTTCATCAGGGATATTGGCCTGTAATTCTCTTTCTTTGTAGTGTCTTTATCCGGTTTTAGAATTAGGATAATACTGGCCTCATAAAAAAAGCTAGAAAGTGTTTCTTTTGGATTTTTTGAAATAATTTGAGGAGGATAAGTGTTAGTTCTTTGAGTGTTTGGTAAAAGTCCCCTGTGAAGCCATCTGGACCAGGGATTTTGTTTGCTGGGAGTATTTTTTATTACTACTTCAATTTCATCAGTAGTTATCGGCCTCTTCAGGTTTTCTGACTCTTCTTGATTGAGTTTTGGAAGGTTATATTTTTCTAGGAATTTGTCCATTTTGTCCAGCTTGTCCAGCTTGTTGACATATAGTTGTTGATAGTGTTTTCTTACAATCCTTTGTATTTCTGTGGTGTCAGTTGTTACTTCACCTTGTTTGTTTCTCATTCTGTTTATTTGGGTTCTCTCTCTTTGTTTTTTGATGAGTGTGGCTAAAGATTCATCAATCCCATTTATGTTTTAAAAAAACCAGCTCTTGGGTTCATTGATCTTTTGGTTTTTGTCTTTATGTCATTTATTTCCACTCTGATCTTTAGTATTTCCTTCCTTCTACTTACTCTGAGCTTGTTCTGTTTCTAGTTCTTTAAGATGTAGGTTTAGATAGTTTATTTGAAGTTTTTCTTGTTTCTTGAGGTAGGCCTGTAGTACTGTGATCTTCCTCCTCAGGACTGCTTTCATTGTGTCCCATAGATTTTGGGTTGTTGTATGTTCATTTTCATTTGTTTCCAGGAAGTTTTTGATTTCTTTCTTGATTTCTTTGCTACATCA